AATGGATCTTTAAGGTTCCTTCAACCAAACCATTCTAGGATTATACAGTTCTATGATGAATTCTCAAATATTGGAGCCACCACCACAGCCCCAAGAGCGCAACAAGGGCTACAGCCCATCTCTCCCACTGCAGCATGGCAGTGAAAAGCGGGTGTCTCTGGGCCATGTCATTCTGCTCCAGTTCCTGCAGCAGTCGAGTCATCTCCTGTCTCAGCATTTCCTCATGCTGCCGCATGCGCTCACGTGTGGCCTCATCCAGCTCCCTATTGACCATCTGCGGGTACTGGATGATGATGTTTCGCACCACACTGAAGAACAGTCGGGCAGCCATGGCCTGGATAAGGAGGGAGATAACGGGTCAGGTGGGTCTGGAAGGAGCGGGAAGCAAGGTATGGAAGCTGCACGGAGCTGGGAGCAGGTAGGGAAAGGGGTGAGAATCCACATTTCTGTTCCAGCTCTTGCCCAACCCAGCCTCCCCTCATGTGCTTACCTTGGCCCAGGCCCTGAAAACCAGCCTCACTGTGACCCATCCCCTAGGATGTCATAAGGCCAAAGCCCATCGCAGACACTCCCAGCTCTACCCTGGCTCTGCAGCTGACAGCTGTCCCTGGCAGCCAGAGCCTTGATAGCCTCAAAGGACAGACCCACCTGGCAGGACAGGTAATAGGGGTAGGATACAAGGGTGGCTTCTTCATAATAGGTAAGAAGATGCTAGAAGTTCCCTCCTCTATTGTCTGATAGAGCCAATGCCAGCCAGCTCCAAGAGAGACCCACCACTGGCCAAAGCCAAACCCATCAGTGATGGTAGTAGCACCTCAGGATAACATATTGAAGAAGGGGGGAAGAAACTTGTGCAACACCAGCAGTTAGGAAACAGAAGTGAGAATATGGAAGAGAAACAACTCTGCATACCCCCAGGTCAGAGAAGAAGGAGGGGGAGGGGGAGGGGCTTCAGACACCAGGGCAGAGATTCCCCTGCAGTCCATAGCGAAGACTATGGTGAGTCAAGATGTGCCCCTGCAGCCCATGGAAGTCTGTGGTGGAACAGACACACACCTGCAGCCTGTGGATGTGCCTGAAGAAGGCTTTTGACTCTGGTGGAAGCCCATCCTGCAACAGGCAAGAGTGTAAAGAGTCTTCCCCTAAGCAGGAAGGAGTGACATTCCCCACAAGCCTATTCCCTATTTTCTCTGCTCCATGTTTTTGAGAATCTTATATTCGCTACCTTTGAAAACATAAAACACAAACTGAAATTAATTGGAACAATTTCCCTTGGTGAACTTTTCTGGGCTCTCCTTGGCTCATTTCTCCAGCCTGTTGAAGCCTTTCTTCATGGCAGCAAGACCCACTGTAGTATCAGCCACTCCTCCACTTTTGTGTCATCAGCAACTAATTAGCTGGCTTTTGTTAAGGCTCTAAAAGGTGTGATATAATTCATTAAACAAAACAAAACATACAAACAACCACCAAATTGGAATAATGTTTCACCATAAAAAAAATCATTTAACATTTGCTAACACAGTTTCTTGTAGAACTTTGCTGTTAAATACAGTAACCACTCCATTTACAAAACTATTAACTTCTCCAATTCAAGAATGAAGTTTTGCTAGTAGTCTATGCTCACAAAAAAAAGCCTGGCATGGAGGAAGAAGAGGCAACACCAAACAGAAAAACTGCTGGTTAACAAGATTTGAAAACACGTATAAAGACATATTCAAACTCATATTAAGACATTAATAAGACAAAGAGCTCTTTGTAGGGGTGGGCAGCATGGGGGATGTTGTTCAAAGTCCATTTGCATTAGCAAGTTCCAAAGATTTCTTCTGGAATAGAGAGTTGGGCAATAGCTAACAGCAGGGAGTTTAACAAGAACAAGTTCTGGATTCTACACCTGGGATGGAGTTATGCTGTGTGTTGTACATACGGACTGGGAATGAGAGGCCAGAAAGCAATGCCACAGAAAGGGACCTAGGGATCCTGTCGACAGAAAGATGAACATGAGTCAGCAGAGCCCTGGTAGCCAGGAAGGCCAACTGTGTCTGGGGCTGCATCAGGTACAGCATCGCCAGCCGGGCAAGGGAGGGGATTGTTCCGCTCTGCTCTGCCCTTGTGCTGCCTCACCTTGAGTACTTTTTTCCACAAAAATTGTATTTATTACCTGGTGTGCAACACGCCAATAATTACACACTTGAGAGAGACATTGATTATTTATTTCAAAATTGCACAAGCCTGGGTGCCTGGTGGAATTCCACAAATCAAGCACACAAACTACCAAAACTTTTTACAATTTATATGTTTTAGCAAATAAAGGAATTAGTGTTCATTGGCTAATAGTTACATAGTTTTCTTATGAATTCATATTCTACTACTGGGTAACAATCCCTTGCTTCTTATGCTAAATAGTCCACGTGCCCAATCTTTCTCGTTTTGGGTCAGTGATCTCCGAGTTGGAGGTTGCAGATCTCCCCCTGCTGGAATTACCTTTCAGTCATTTGGAGCCGATTTCAGCTCAATTGTTGAGCTGGCTTATATTAGTTTTTCCCTTATCTTGAGGGTTCTACCAGATGTCTTTGTAGGTTATAAATTCTGCATTCTTTATGTCCAGTATCAGTCGGCATTCTTTTTCCCAAGCTTTGTTAACCTCCCCCTCGGTCTCAGATCATTGAAGCATGTCAAGCCCTAAACTTTCACAAGGTAATTCTACAAACAAGTAATTTGTTCTTTTAGATATCATAGAGATCACTTAGAGTTTGCTTGTTAGCTGCCATTTCACAAGTTAAACCTCCCTAGTTGATTGGACTTGAAAGTACACAAAGATCAAACATGAAAGAACATCCTTAATTTTTTTTTTTTTTTACATAATCCGCATTTTACAGCAATCCTGTGTGCAGTTTTGGGCACTACAATATAAAAATGGCATTAATCTATTATAGAGGGTCCAAAGGAGGGCAGGGAAGATAGTGAAGGGACTGGAGAGGAAGCTGTATGAGGAGTGCCCGAGGTCACCTTTTCATCTTGGAGGACACTGAGGAGAGACCTCCTTGCAGTTCACAATTTCCTCATGAGAGAAAGTGCAAGGTTACGCACTGATCTCTTCTCTACAGCGTCCAGTGACAGGACTGGAGGGAACGGCCTGAAGTGGTGTCAGAAGAGGTTTAAGTTGGCTATTAGGAAAAGGCTTTCCAACCAGAAGGTGGTTAGGCACTGGAACGAGCTCTCCCCGGAAGTGGTCACAACACTAAGCCTAACGAGAGTTGGAGAAGCATTAGAACAATGGACTCAGGCACATGGTGTAACTTTTGAGGTGCTTCGTGCAAGAGCTGGACCCGATGACCCTGGCGGGCCCCTTCCGACTCGGGATATTACCTCCGTGTCTCGACACGGCCACCAACGCTTCAGCCCGCGCCAAGCCGCGTGGGGATCTTTGCTGCGCGTGCGCAAGATAAACCCCCGCCCCTTATCTCTTCCCTTGCCGCTGATTGGTCTGAGGGGCGCGCGCCGCAGCCGGGAGCGGGAACGCCCCGCCCCTCGGCTGTAGGCGTGAGGTTGCCGTGGCAACGAGGGGCAGGCAGCGCGCGGGGGTAGGGAGCTGAGGGGAGAGCGGGGCCGGGCCGGGGGCGCTTCCTCCCGGGAGGGCGCCTGGAGCGGATCCCGGCCCGTGCCCGCCATCAGAGCCGCCTTCCCACCGGCCGTGCTGGGAGGCGGTTGGTGGCGGGGCCACGGGACGGGAGGGCGGTGTGAAATCGCACGGCTGTGTAGGTAGGAAGGAGCTGGGGGACCGAGGGAGGGAGATCTGCCCGGCTTTCCCTCATTTATTCTATTGGGTTTGGAAAAAGATCTGAGAAGGGGTTCTGAAGGGTGTTTTTGTATAAAAAGCAAGAAACTCACTGTAGGAGAGAGAAAGGACAACCCACAATGTCCTTTCAGCTCTCCTTCACACCCACCTTCTAAAATAAAAGTTAAAATAAAATCCCGTATGGATAAAGGAGAGCTACTGAGCTTCAGATTTGTTTACTAAGAAAGGAAGTTTTTTCTGCCTTCACAGCCTCGATCTTGGCTTTTCTTCAGTTTGTCTTAATTGTAATTCTGGCAGGGAGAATTCTCTGTGCGAGGTTTAGCGCTGGGATGCTTTTTGCTGTCTCCTCGGTTCTGATACACTAATGTAGGGCTTTTGTGTATAAGCTATAATACATAATATACATTGGTATATGTACTGGCTAAATAGGTGGCCTTTCTATTCTGAGTCATTAAGTTATATCTGTTAGGGTATCTTTATACCCAGATTGTTTATGCATCCCGTTCAGTATTAGCCACTTGCCTTCTTCCCTCTCCGATTCAGTCATTTATAAGCTCATTTATATAAGCCAGAGTTTGGGAAAAAAAAGTTGGTATTGTTGTGAGAGCCTCTATAATGTGCCTTAGTGTGAAAAACTCAGTTTTTGACTGTGCAGAACATGCACTTGTGTGCATGACAAAAGTGCCATGCAGATATATAATGAACCCTGTAGCTTAATACCACCTCTCACAGCCTGTAAAACCTGTTATGGAGTGTCCTGTATTTTCTAATTTATAATCAGATTATGAGCTTCCATTAACTAGCTACTATGTGTAAGAATTATGCCTGCTGTGAAGCGTTGAGCTCATATTTCTGGATGGAAAAGGCAAAAACTAGAATATAATATTCTTAAGCAAACCCAATCAACACATCAAACAGAAAAATTATTTTAAATGTTTATTAATACACCAAAAACTTGATAAAATGTCAGTAGTAAAAAGGGATAGGTTTTTATAAGTAACATAGTATCACTGTAAATGAAAAGGACATTGGTGAGGATATGTCAGATTTGAAGTACACATGTAAGCTTTGTTGAAGATCTGGGCTACAAGCAGTATAACATTTTCCTTTTTTTTTAAGGCATTCTATCATACAACTTAGAAGAGCACGTGGAATAAAAGATTATTAAAAGAAGCAGTAGAGCAGCTTGACCTATTTCAGAACCATGGTTCGGCTAACAATGGACCTAATTGCTAAAAATGCTGGTCACAAGAATCGTAGTGAAGAAGACTTTGAACAATATCTGCAAAAAATAACTCATCTGAATTTGTCAGATAAAAATATAGATTCAATTGTAAGATTTATTTTTTATTATTCCTTTTAAACTGGCTACTCTAATGGAGTTGCTGTTATGATGAGTTGTTCATTGTTGGAGAGACAAACAAGGAAAGCCACGTTTTACAGATTTGTTAACTCACAGCACAATCTTTTCAATCTATCTGTGATTTATTCCTTAAATTTCAGAGGAAGTCTGAGAAAGGAAAGGAGAGGTCAGGAACAGGAAATAACCCGAATGAGCTTAACAAATTTGGACTAGTGTAGTTGCTTTTTCAAACTAGCCAGGTTAAAAATATACTTTTTTTTTTTTTAATTACTCCCTGGGGCCTGCTCATTTAAAAAATAATCCATGAGCTTTTCATTTTCAAAGACTAAACCTGCAAACTTGGCCCAGTCCTCCTTCCTCTGAGTTTAATAATAGGAAATGTATACAGGTTTCAATAAGTTTTCAGTTAATTCAGATCCCCTCAAGATACTGAGTAAATTTTGAAACTGCTGAGCCCTGAACAACTGCACTGTTGAATGTGATGAATTTCTGCTCTAAAAGCATGACTTCAGTCAAGAAGAAATCACTTGTTCTGTGTGAACAGATCCCTGCAAGCAAATGGGTTTATTCAGCCCACTCCTAGCAATGTGCACCGCCATAGTGAGTTACTAATTGTCCATTTGATGAGCTCTGGTTCATCAGCTGTCACAGCAAAGTTTTACAGAAAGCTTCATGAGGAGTGGTCTTTTAGTTGTTTCATAGGAATATGTTAAAAAAAATCAACATAAACTCGAGTTCAGAAATATATTAAAATAGATTGAAGTGCAAGGTTTTGTGTAAAACCAGTAATTCTTTGCCAAGAACTGGTTTCCAGTTACATCAGTGCAGTTTAATGGATACAACTACACTAAAAACTTTGCTTTTCTGAAATCCACCTGATGAAGACAGGGAAGGGAATGAAGTCACACTGGATGTCGTGTATTTGCTGGTGATGCCTGTTGTCCTCAGATTCTGTATGGCAAAATAGTAACAACAGATTTCAGTCTTTATTCTGTAGGTAACTGACAATGTATAATAACTCTGTTTTTCTAGGAAAAATAGTTTTAAGAAATGTTTATTAAAGGTGAAAATTTATAAATCATGCATCAGAACATAAATATAAAATAAATAACAATAATAACAATAAATAACAATCAATAGCTTCCAGAAGCAGGCAGTGAGTGAACATTAAGTAGCATGTCATTGTTTATTTCAGGATGACCTCTCTTTCTGTAAAAATCTGAGAGTTCTATATTTATATGATAACCAAATCAACCAAATACAGAACTTGGACTTTGCTTCAAATATAACGCACCTTTACCTTCAGAACAATCGTATTTCAAGTATAGAAAATCTCTCATTGCTGAAAAAACTTGAAAAACTGTAAGTTGAAAATAATGTATTTATTTAACTAGTCAAAAGTATAGTTATGACACTTAAGAAATTTTTTGAATTATGTAGCCATTAAGGTTCTTTCAGCTCTTAAATTTTGCTTTTCAAATAGAAGTAATTGCTTATTATTTTTTGATGAGATGATCTGTGATAAATGTAATGACATATAATTTTAACATATATATTTGCATTTAAATAATTTTATTTTTTCAGTCTTGTAATAATAATAATAATAATAATAATAATAATAATAATAATAATAGCAGCAGTAGATAAAACAGCAAAAACCTGCTTGAGTTAGTTAAGTGTGAATTCTACTTATGTGCTAGGTTATTTACTTTTCCTATCATAATTTCCAAGTATTATTCAATAATGCTTGAAAATTTTTTTTCTTTATATATTGAAGCCTTGTGTTTGCTCTTACTTTCAAAGGATATTAAATCTGTTTTGTGTTCTCTAGGTATTTAGGAGGCAACTATATCACTATAGTGGAGGGTTTGGATAAAATAGGAGAACTAAGGGAGCTACATATTGAAAGTCAACATCTCCCTCTTGGTGAAAAGCTTCTGTTTGATCCAGTATCTCTTAACTCCCTGGCAGTAAGTACATTTTGAGAATTTCAACGAGCCAATAATCAGGAGATAAGTATTTTAGGAGAAATTATTAGAAGTTGATCACGCTGTGTTTTCCTCTTTTGCAAATTGGTGTCATTATTTCAAGTTCTACCAAGGGACGCCCTAATCCTCTTATAAGGAGTCCAGCAAATTCTATTTTATCTTTTTTTCATTATGAAGGATGAAAATGAGGATAAAGAGAGAGAAGAATTAACGAAGTGTGTGCATGCCCTATACCAACAGAATGTGAATAAACTAAAAAAAGGGGTTGGAATTTATCACTCTTAGTTTTCTTAGTCTGTTTCATTTGTACTGAATTAGTTTGTTGATATTTCAGTGATTTGATTGGTATACTTGTTTATTTATTGCCTTTTGTATTTCTGTCAAAAAATGGAGTGGAAAAAAAATGCACAAACAGTTTTTTTTCCCTGGATATTACGAACAACATAATCAAAAACATTCCGTTTTAGTTCTGCGGTTCTTCTATGTGGTATTATGTCAAAAGTTCAGGAAATCTTTTTGAAGTTGTCTTTCAACATGTTAATTGCTCAGAAAACATAAAACATATAGTTGAAGAGGTTAAAAAGTAGGCTTTATTTGCTAATGGATGTAGTTCTGTACTATAAAAATTCCTCTTGCTGTATCTCTGATAGCATAGTCAGGGCTTGATGAGTCTTTTTTTTGAGAAGATGAAAAACTCACTAAAAAATGAGCTCTTTTGTTCACATTTATATCATAAATATTTGACCTAGCTCTATTTTTTCCTGTTTTGAGATTATATAATCCAAGACATGTATTACTGTTTTTCTTTAATAGAAATGTGTCATTATTGTGAGAGCATTTGTACTTTGCTCCTTCTATATTGGAGAAATTATCAAAGTAAATGGAAGTTTTATAGCTATAATCTTCTCAGGATAATAACATTTAATAAACTCTTCCATGTTTTTCAGCAGCCTGGTCTAGATTTTGGGTTTTGTGGCTTTTATTTAAGGTCTTTTTGATGTGGGGTTTGTATTTTTTCTATGAAACAACTTTGCATTCTTGACAATGTAACATCTTTGTGGAGGCTAAATGTAAAAATCCTGTATTTTATCCTTCAAGTGCTAAGTATTTGGAGCCTTTTTAAGGCATGGCTTTTTACTACTTCATCTGTTTCTGGCTCTTTTAATGGTATCAGAGATAAAAAAGCATGAGGTCATATAGCTCTGTGTGTACCACAGGCAAATGTTTTGATGATGACAATGTTATGAATCTAACTGAGAAGATTAAGTTTATGAACTGTGTTTATCAGGATGATACTGGTAATTTCCATCTGCAATGTAGATATTGGTCAAATTTTTGAAAGGGATTAGTTTTCCTGTATAAACTGCTGAAATAGAGATTTTCCAACTAATAGTAAATATTATACTTTGTATAATTCTAAACTCACTAGATTAGGTGTCCCTTTTCATTTTCTAGAGATAAAAGCTTTTTCCTTTTATATGAAACTGCATTAGTATTTCCCAAGATAAACACCCGAAACATGTTTAGATTTTTATCTAAAATATAAAGATCTCTGTAACTATTGTCTGTTACAAATGGCAAAGTGCAATATGTGACTCAGTACTGTTCCAGAGAAGGGGTAAGGATCAGAGGTATGGATACCAAGAGGTTTGTGGCATCAAGCCTGAAAGAAAAGTAGTGTAGTCCAGCTGTTAAATGAGATTATGCCGGTTGCATATATGGGCTTCAGCTCTGCAGTTCAGATGCAATCTTGGGGTCCACAGTATAAGAAGAAAATGGACCTGCTGCAGCTAGTCCAGAGAGGGCCACAGAGAGAGGATCAGAGGGCTGGAGCACCTCTCCTATGAAGACAGGCTGAGAGAGTTGGGGTTGTTGAGCCTGGAGGAGAGAAGGTTCCAAGGACAGCTTGTATCAGCAGTCCAGTACCTAAAGGGGGGGACTACAAGAAAGCTGGAGAGGCACTTTTTAAAAGGGTGTGTTGTGATAGGACATGGGGTAATGGCCGGAAACTGATCAAGGTCAGCTTTAGATTAACTTTTAGGGGGAAATTCTCTGCTTGTGAGAGTGGTGAGACACTGGAACAGATTGCCCAGAGGAGCTGTGGATGCTCTATCCATGGAAGTGTTGAAGGCCAGGTTGGATGGATCTCTGAACAGCCTGGTTTAGTAGAAGGTGTCCCTGCTCATGGCAGGGGGCTGGAACTAGGTGATCTTTAAGGCCCCTTTCAACCCAAATCATTCTGTGATTCTATAAAAAGGCAGTCAGTTTCAATGTATGTTTCACACTTCAAAAGTAGAGTTGTAGCACTTGCAGAACTCTGTAAAGAATTTGAATGTATTTTAAAAAAAAACAACCAAAAATTCTATATTTACTAAGAATTTCTGAAATAAACAAGAAACAATCTTACTTTGGTTTCACTTCTAAACCAGAATAAATTACATTTTAGGACAAGGTGCAACGCCAACATAAAACAATCTGTATGGTATATGGAGGTGGTGTTTTCATGTTTCTTCTTCATATGTTTGTTCATCTTTTCAGATAATTTTCTGTAATAATTTACAACTTGACTCATGCATGGCATGAAAAAACTTATTTTTCTGCTTTTCTTCCTTCAGAAATCTTTGTCTGTATTGAATATCAGCAATAACAACATTGATGAATTAGAAGAACTGGCAGTTTTGGAAAATCTTTCTTACCTTAAAGCAGTCGACAATCGACTTAAACATATGAAGGTATTAAAGTAAATCTTTGTTTTATTAAGTATGGGTGTTAAGAAATTAGTCACATTCATCTTTATTGCTAAATATATAAGTAAAAATAAATTTTATTTCTGCAGTTACTAAATCTGGCATGTCAAGCATGCTGTCTTTTCTCATATAAAAATCTTACTGAGACTAAAAATGGAGAAGCGTTTACCCAGGATGTCAAAATCTATATTTTTGTTAATTAATACTATAATGAATTGGTTTAAATAGTAACCCAAATCAGCAAGACAAAGTCTTGATTGAAAGAAAATCTTTAATTTCTGGTTTGCATAAACATTTTATTTCCTTAGTAAACTTAACTTTCGTTAGTTATTATTAATTAGTAATTATTAAAATAACTATTCTTATTACTTCTGAGAACACAACTTATTTTTAACAGATTGTTGAGAGAATTTGCCAATTCTCTTTACTAGTGAGGAGATTGCAGTATTTTGTGTGCATAACCTGTCAGTTATCTAGATGAATTTACTCTACTTGGACTCTTCATTTTTTTACACTTTAATATTAAAAAATGTTGAATAATGCCCTTCTTTTTTAATACAGAACTATTAATGCTTTGTATTTCAAGTCCTGGCTGTAAGCGGTGATTGAATTTACATCAAAATACAGTTCATGTAGGCTTTTGCTGAATAATTAAAATCACATTGAATATGTTGGTTACATCAAAATAGCAAAAAGTTTTTTCCAAATAGGCAGTCTCACCGAAGCTTCCCTTTATAAATGAATCCATTTCTAAATAAAACATATTACAGAGATTTTTACACTGACTCTTTCTTTCTTTTAAATAAAATATACTTCTGTTGTGATGATCTTAAAAGAAAATTATCATAGCCAAAGAACCAATTAGTTTTAAGAATGAGGATGCCAATTCAGAGGCAGCATTTTCAGCATCTCAGAGGAAAAACCAGTATTCTCTGAAACATAATAAGGAGAGGACAAAATGACTGCGTTATTCAGTATCTGTGTACATATTATTTATTATTTATTAATTTTTATTATTTAATCATCAGAAAAAACAGAATCATATTTACCCAAATCAGTTAGACCTGTAGATTTCTATGTTACATGGTCACAACTGTTGAAAAATTATAAAATTAGCATTTGAGCTTGCTATCCATTACACTTGGATTAAGCTCCAGTATATTTTGAAAGTGACTGTTCTGTGTGTTTTCTAAACAATCTCCAAATTTTGAAGGAAGGAGTTTCTATTCATGTTTTTGCAGACCTGTAAAATTAATGAACATATCAAATGTGTTTAATATACAGTGTAATGCAGGTAGATATGCAACTTTCCAACTACAATTACTGAGTTTTAAGGGATTACATTTTGGTAGGCTCTACTTATCACTAACCTAAATTCTTAAATAAATAAAAACCAAACTGTTGAAAGAAGCTGTAAGCAATGAAAAGTATTTTTTAAAAAGTCAGTTTTAGCTCTGTGTAAGAGGCTTTAGCTCACAGTGGACGTCTTGCAGGAGAACAACCTTATACAGCCACTGATTGTTCAAAAAAATAGCTGAGGAAAGTTTTGAGTATATTTTCATTTTTTTTTTTGCATCCCTGAATTTCATGATTGCACAGCATACATTGTTCTACAACTATGAAAGCTGCAAGGATGTTAGGGGTATACAGTTCTATACACTTAATTGGTTCTGGTGGCTGAACTTGTTACATACAGCAAATGTTCTTTCATTCCCACATGAGCTGCGTCCATTCTCCTCTCTCTTGCCCCTGTGTTATCAAAACTCTAATGTATACCTCTTTTTCATGCCAAAAGCACTATGTGGCCTGTTTTTCTATTCTTGCTTTCCCATCACTGCCATCAAGAACTTTCCCAGGAATGTCTGGCATTGATCAGAGATCGTGGCAGTGCTGCATGACAGGGAAGTGTTGGAGACCTCTGTACCCAGTTGTGCTTCACCTAGTGGGAAGAGAAGCTGTAGGGGAGCTACCTGTGTCTGAGCAGCTCTGGTGAACTGCAGGAATAACGTGGAATCTTTGTGAAAGAGGAAAATATGAAGGGCATAAGAAATGCATTAAATACAATCTTATGTAGATTTTTCTCACTTTGGTGTATTTAGTATAATTATATTTAAGCATTTCTCTCAGTTTTTTCACTTTATTTTGAAAACCCATATGTCTTCGCTTTTCAACTATGCCACTTTGATTTCAGCATAGTTGAAAACTAGGACTAATTAATTCAAGCACTTAAGGTCGTGGCTAATACAGGGCTTTGTTAGCATAATTAACAGACATCAAGGCATATGACCTTGTTTCAATTGACTGAAGTTTATATAATTCAGTCTGAACAGTAGATGGAAGAAAATTAAGTAATTTTTCTGAATTTGTGCAAAATAACTGTGACTAGCTACCACATGCAAAAGGTATGTCTTAGGTCAGTTATCAAGAATATAATTGATTTTAATAGAATTGGCTTCTCTTTGTTTTCTATTGCTTGCTACTTCATTTATTCATTGTATTTAGATTCTGGTTTGCTTTAGTCAGGATCACAAGGTCTTCTAGACTGCAGTGTATTTGGGTTGGAATTAAGAAAATTTGTTAAAACACTATGTCAATTAAAAAAAACCCCACAATTATTCCTTTTTACAAAAAGACAGAATATAATTTATTTATTAAGTTCATTAGTTTTGGAAAGATTATGAATTATGTGAGTATTTGGATAGATAGAAAAAATATAGTTAGAAATACCTGGAAAAATCTTTATTTCCCAAGTCTTTAATTTATTCAACCTCTGCCCAGTATTGATTATGACAAGAGGATATCACAAAAGATGAATTCATTCACTTTAGAATTGAGTCAGGAACAAGAGAAAAATTATAGATTTTCTCAAATAGATTATGACAGGTAATCAAACTGGTGACAAATTGCTGTCTGTAGATGTAGCTGGGGCAGTTGGATTAGACATTTCCAATAAAAACTGGAGCATACTGTTCAAATACCAATTCTTAAATGGCCACCGTTAATTGGTAAGAAAGTTATTGCCAGCACTACAGCTGCCGACTCAGGCACTTGCCCTTCCCCCTCCCCAATGGAATATAATTTGCTCGTCAGTATTTTGTAGCAGACCTCAAAGTGATAGCATGACATGATCATTTATCAAACGGAGCCTGCCCAGAAGAGTGTCTGGTCCCTTTAGTACAGCTTATTGAAAGGCTGGGAAGTGAAAGCACTTTATTAGAGACAGGAAGGCAATGAACAACTAGAGCGTATCGAAAGGGTAATCATATTTCAGCACAGGATTAGTGTGCTCTTAGATAAACATACACTGGAGTAAGCATGTTCTGGGTCATTTATCAAGTAAGTAACAGCTAACAAAAATCTACAGGACATGGTATACATTCATCAAAGTTAAACTGTATACATTTAATTTCAGTAACAGACAACTTTGTGTTGCCAAACTATTACTTGGAAAGATTCTTTCTAATGAAATCTAGAACACATTACAAACTTCAATGATAGTCTCTGAATGCTTAGGTAAGGATAAATAAATATACTTGCTAAATTATTTTTCTTTTTTAGTAAGTCTAGCCTAAAATATTTTGCCCCTAATTTTTTTTTTGTGATGAAGTGTTAGCACCTAAACTATGGGGGTTATCACGTTGCTATCCTGATACATGCTAATTAAGCTTTGCTGAATAACATTATGAGAGAATTACTAACATTTCTTCCTGTGGACTAATCCTCAGAGTTTCTAGCATTGTTTTATGAGTCTTGATCCTCACAGAACCAGATTTTTGCTGTCTAGTTTTCTAAAATATACATTTTTATCACTGAAAAACAACAGATTATGTCACTATATGGACACCATCATTATAGATTATAGACCAAAAATTATATGGTTTGGAGGTATGAGGCTGTGCTGCCACTTTCTTTTCCATGTGATTTTTCTAAACATATATTATATAATCCATAGTGTATTTCCAAGAGGATTTTCTACCAAGAGAGATGAGACAGCAAAAGCAGAATTCTCCCTGCTTATGTTACCCAAGCAATTTTCTAAATTTGAAGGAGTAAGAGATATCTACATTGCTAGAGACTTCATTATTGGCATCAAACTACAAAGTTTTACACACTCTGTGGCTTAGGATCCATCACAACATGATTAGTAGATTTTTCCAAATTATTACAGCAGTAGAACATAAATCCTCTCTCCTATTTATACCTATTGTCTTAAATCCCTCCTTAAGCTTTTCACACATACAAGGAAAGCCTGTCAAGAATGGGAGTTAAATGAGATTTTGGAAAGAAGGTGTTTCAGTGTTTCAGAAAGTAAGATGTCTGAGTAGAAAGGACCAATCTGCTAAACACTGCATGTTTTTAACTTGAATTTATTGTGTTTAAAAGACAAAGTAGTTTCATCTAGGTCATACTGCCCCTGGGTAACCAGACAGAAACACAGATGGAGAAAAGTATATTTCACTAATTTCACTGTGTAGGCCAATACTGTAACTGACCACCCACAGGTAGGGAAGGATTACTGTTTCTCCTGTAAAATACAGTTCTACATATATATAGAGAGGCAGTGCACTATGGATTGCATGATTTTTAGTTTTTCTTTTTTTTTAGTCTTCTTTATCTGTATAAATTACTTATTCTTCCACAGGCTGATACTCTAAGAGCTCTGTAAGACCATGGAGATGCATTAACAGACTTTGCATATTACACAAATTTTTTCATTGGTAGTTCCTAGGCTTTGGGTGCTTATCAGAGGGATTGAAATGGTGATATTCCCATAGGTGGCATTACTGTATCCTTAAAAATGCAGCATCTTCCAACATCAGTGTTTCTTCTGTACAATTTTAATATATTCAGGGAATGCTGTGGACCACTCTGTTTGAAAATGCACATTCTTAATGTGCATATTAATACATGTGAATAGTCTCATTGAAGTTATTTCTGTGTGCAGGATTTGGGCCTGGTTGAACAAATCACATTACTGTTGAATTTCACTCTGGAGGGGGAAACATAATCACAATTTTCTGTTGTTGTTTCAATTGCAGGATTTGGAGGTTGCATTAAAAAAATGGACAAAGCTACGCAGAATGGATCTTACAGGAAACCCCATCTGTCAAAAACCGAAGTACAAGGATAGGATTATAGTACAGTCACCGACTTTAGGTAAAAAATTAGATCAATAGCCCACCCATAACCCCCACTTTTTTAGGAAACAACTGAAAAATTAATTGTTGTTGAGTAGCACTATCGTCTAAACAGTTACTGCTATAGATATTTATGTCAAATAATGAATTCTTAATTTATGTAGAAAGCTAAAACTACTTATGTAATTAGCTTCACAAGCCATCTTGTTTAGCTTTTGTCATTAGTAGTTGTAATGATTTGTTTTATAATAGATGATTGGTGAGATTGTGACAAGAGAATTTTTTGTGTTCATATTCCAAATGTTGTGAAAATTATTTTCAAAGATCAGTTTCATCTATTCCCTATCAATCTGTAATAGTTGCTAAAGTATTTTCATTGAACAGTTCTGGTTATGCAGATCCCACCTTACTGTGTTTGAATTTGTCATATAACATTCATCCTTAAAAGCAATTCACACATATGTTGTGATTGCATTTGTGAATCTTAACCCTTATGGTTAAGATTTATATTAGAGTTTAATTATATATATATAATTATATATATATGTTTAATTATATATATAAAAGATAGAGTTTATATTAGAGTTAAGATTTATATTAAAGTTTATATTATTATTATTTTGCATAAAATTTTAGCATGAAAGGCAGAAACTGATTCTTCTATAGCTAATTATTTATACAGTAGAAATAAGTAAAAAAAAAAATCTGCTAATTTTTTACTTTTTTTGGATAAAGGGGGCAATTATTTTTAAAGTTATAATTACGAAACTTGGTTTTTCTTAGAGCACAAAATACTGGCCATTAAGAAAAAGCAAAAGCCTGTCTGTATAATAAAAATAATAGTGCCTTAGGACAGTTCTAATGCAACCTAAATTTGTGGCCACATTAGGTATTTCATTTAGGCTGACTCAAAAATGCAGATGCAGCCAATGAATCATAGAGCATAAGGTTTATGGCACCTAAGTGAGTAAAGTTAACCTTAGAGAGGCAAATCTGTGTGACGGTCTTCATGATCAGTAGAATTCCTTGATTGCAAAGACATGCAGTTTCCCTCTCAACCTGGATTTCTGCATCTATCTATACCCTCTGTAAGAGCATAACTTTTCTGCAGAACTTTATAGAAAGTCTTGCATGTTAAACAAATGTGAAATATGTGTATTTCCCTTGAAATTTATAAAAACTGCAGATTTTTTTTTTGTAATTAAGACGTTAACTCACTCTTGCAGCTTGAATATGAATATCAATCTTTATTGTGTATTTTTTTCTTTACAAAAAATACTAGAAAAAGAAAGAAATACTTGAAGAGAATTAATATAGAGCCAATACACATTACATACAACTTTGCACAGCCCCTTAGTTCACTTGGTATCACAGAAAATGTTCTCTTTTGCAGAATCCCTCGACGGGAAAGAAATTCAAGAAATGGAAAGACGTTTCTTAATAAATTGGAAAGCCTCCAGAGCTGCCAGGAAAAAAAAAAATGAAAGAATGACAGATGAACATGCAGCCTATGTACAATTTTGTAAGCAAACTAATCAATTACTTCATGCTTATTTAAAACTTACAGAAATCATAAAATTACAGCTAAAAATAAATATACTTAGAATTGTTTATAAGACATTTGTACCAGTGATGGGTCCAAAAGACATGAGTAGAAATTGAGCTTTTCCAATACAAAATTTAATTTTAGCACTAGTTCATGTATTGGGTTTTTTTCCTCACATCTCAGTCTCCCAGAATTATGGAAAGGGGTAGCTAGTATATTTTGAGTGTGTAAATATTCACATTTACTTCCATATTTTAAAAATGTTGTGCATTCTAGGATAAATATGCATGAAATATATCAGACTTTTAAAATCTATTTTTTGATGCTAATTTTATCTCTGTATATTGTCAGTCCCTTTAAAGGCCTTTGAAAGATACATGTCTAGCAGAAGTCCAAGTTTTAAACTTGGAAAGGAAAAAAAATGTCTGGGAGGTAAAAAAGCCTTTAACCCTTTTTGAGGTTTAAAGGCAACCTGTTCTTCAAGTGGGAAAACAGATAAGTTTTGAAACTCAAGCAAAACCTGAAATAAACTCTGAGGCTTTTTAAAATTATGGGGAGGTGGTGGTTGTTACAGAGTTGACTGAAGGTGAAAACATCAATGACTTAAAAGCATGTCTTTCCATGTTGCAGGACTTGGATACGGACATTTAACTTGAAATTATTCAAAATTGTTTGAATTACCATATTTATAAAATAAAATTGTTGGCACTTACACTGTTGCTTTCAGAAGATAAATTAAAATATTATTTTTGAAGACATAAGGGCTGGTGCTCTGCCTGCCAGCACCAGCCCTAAAATAGTTGGAGTCTGCTCATTGTTTGGAAGCCATATGTAAATGGCAATGGTTTGGACATGGTCTTCTGAATAACTTCTGTTATAAGGAGGTGCTATGCAATTGGATTTACTCCCTTTCAAATAACTCTTCCTGAATGGGAATATCTGTTTTAATATTCACCTTCATCAGTGTTAGCAGCACCTTCCATAATTCCATTCAAACTTTTCTTTTCTCAGTTATCAAATTTGAGTATTTCACCTTAAGGTTCATTACCCTGTTTTCTCTAACAAGAGATATTGGAACTTGTGATCAATCACACTGAATATTAAACACATGGTTTGACTTGGGATATTGAATTAATCCTTTTTTCTTTTTGTTTTCTACAGCTGACTCTGAAACACCTCATCTTGCTCTTCCTTTTAACCACAGTCACTCTGTGAAACAAAAAGCAGATTTTTTAGATTTGGCTCACAAGCAGAAAGTTGAAAGAAAACCTGCGCCAAGAATCCGTGAAAGAAGAAGTCAGATGAAAACTCAGGTGTGTTTCTCAAACATCTTCCTTCTAGTTATGTTGGTTGTTGCTTGTACAGCTCTTGCTGAATCAATTGGAAAGTGAGTACAGGAAGATAGAATTTAATTGGAAATATTTTTTTTTAACCATGTTATATATATTGTCTTTATTTCTTTGAAAGACAAGATAATAGATTTCAGTTTTTGGTTACAAATCAGTGAACTAGCTAATAGTAGTAACTTTAATGTTACTAGTTTCTGTCTTATGCATTTAACTGTAATCATTTTCCACAAAGGTAAAATAATATTGAAGTTAATTCTCTGAAGTAAGTTAAGGTGTGAAGACCATTGGTGAAATGTGATGCTGTGGACGGAATCAACTGGATAATGAGAAACAATCAGTTTTCATCATTACAGCTTACTTCTAACAGCCATGCTCCAGTTTCACCTGTGGCAATAGTATAGTTAGATATTTGGGACCTAATATCACTCCTTCCAGATTTTTAATGCTATTTTTAACCTAACAGTTTTATTATTTATCAGCTGAACGAGCCAACAACAACAAAAAAATCATCATTTATATAATGCTGTAGATTAAATAAATACATGCAACTGACATGGGTATTCTTTTGTAATTAAATTAGTAAATGTAGTGTTCTATTTTACATTCAAGTTAGAATTTATTAGTATGTTTGACAATATCACTGAGCAACATTTAATGCTATTTTATTCTTGACAACTTACCACTTTCCATTCCATGAGTTTTGTTTCTTTTGATTATTTGTTCTGATTAAAAATAGCTGCCTTTCCATTGAGAAGGGAAGAATTGCAAATCACAAAGGTGCTCTTTTTCAAGTAATAATTTTAGTTCATCACATGACAATGGATATATTCTGGCCTAAAAAAGAAACTGAATTTGTCATATATGTGCCTGTTATTGTACTTTTTTCTTTCTCAGAAAGCACAAAACAGTGGAGCAGTTAAGAACTACAGGAACAATGTACTTGTTATTATAAAAAGTAATACTGCTAGTACCTACTGTAGTAGTATACTATTATTTTCCAGTGAATAGTAGAGGCTTCTGAAATTTAGAGAGATACAGATTACAGATACTCATGAGATACAGATACTCATGAGATACAGATACTCATGCCATATAAATACGTTTGGGGTTTTTTTAAATTCTATTGTAAGATGGGTTTGTCCACGTGCTCAGTGTTATGTCAGCTTGCATGTCATCTCTGTTAGCATCCTGTCTTTAAGGCCAGGCTGAGTAAAACTGTGCTTTCCATTTTGTATTCCCCTTAGTCCTAAAATAGGATGGAACATGCGTGTACAACATCTTTTCTCCTGTAAGACCTTCTGCTAGTCCCTTTGAGACAAAGCATTCTGATTCTGTTTTACAGTGGTAAAAAGCTGTCCAATTGTTGAGCTTCTTTGCTTGGCAAATATTTTCTCCCTATTAAAAATCTGGACTACAATCACAGCTCTGTTGAAATCCCTTTTGACCCTAGAAAGGTAAAGAGAACATCTTCCATACTTGATTGAAATAAAATGGCTATATTTTTATTAATTTACATTTGTAAATTAAATAATTTAAGTGATTTTTTTTTTACTCTTAGTCTAGAAGATTTTTGTCTGATTTCACAGGAAGGTTAGAAGAAACTGCAGTCAGGTGACATGCATTTAATATTTTCTAAAATCTTGTAAGTGGGACTTTTATCTTAGATGCTGAAGGTTCAGCATTGTAAGGTTACCTTACAATTTCATGTGTAATCACTGATCCTGAGATGTATTCTAATCTTTCTAGTAGAGGAATTCCATAGAAACCGAAGAGTCTGGGGAGTTAAAGGTTTGTGAATACTTTAGAACTTCTATTGGAAAAAAACCCCAGAACCTCAAAAAATAGAAATACTCATTCTCAGATCTTATGCAGATATGAAAAAATGGCAAATCATAGTATTCCCTTGCCAGATCCACTAATTAGGGATATATATGAGTGTGCCCACAAGTAAAGGAAGGAAATTTTTTCAAACCGAACAAATACCTGTATTGTTTAATTGAAATTCAGTATTGGACCAAAGAAATTAGTGGGTTTTAATCCTAACCTCTGTGTTAGTCAAATGAATTATTCCAACAGATGTTTCCTCTTTCCCTATACATATTAGGTGATGTTTGACCTTGGCAACCGAAAAACAGGCATTAAATACCTTTTTAACCTACATCTGAGATCCACTGAGGATTGCATGCAGCTTGAACAATGAAAAAAGCCACTTATTACTAGATTACTGAAATATGTCATTAATCTTTCCTTTTTGATGATATAAAAACAATAGAAAATTTATATTGAATTTTAAGTTAGTTTTGGACATTCAGAGAAAATTATGGATATTGGCAGGAAGTAATTAAAAGAAACCAAATCACTTAACTATTTTAAAGATACCTAATACCTTCCAATGGGATACACCATTATTAATGCTCCCTGAGCAGAGAAGTTGTTGAAATTTTGATGTTGTAAACTTAATCTGTAACCAGCAGTTTCTGCCCACATTGCCTTACTCATGGAATTGAATATTTTGGTAGGTATTCGTAGCAGTTCAGAATGTGCTGGGAAAGTCACCTTTTGTTTCTCCATTGTATGTTATGTGATTAGCAATATGGAAATATCTTTAAATTATACAATCAGCATGTAATAAATACTCTGGATTGTGCCAACTAATCACAAACCACTTTTCTGCCACATGTACAGCATGAACATTTCAAATTCTAGTCCAAAAGGAAGGAACTTCTAGTGAATGTTAGTTTTTCCTCTTAGGCAGATGCTTATATGAACATTGTGTTTAATTAGTTAAATATTTATAAATGCCCTCTGTTGTGGTGACTTGTGTGGTCTGAAATCTACACAGGATAATGTATATTTGGTAACAGGTAGGAATGTGCCTGTTCTGCTTGTATACTGGGCTTTTGTTTATATGAATCTAACTAGCATTATAATAAACAGAATTATTAAGGCATATTATATGAAAGGTTTTTGGGGAGAAATGATACTGAGACTGTAATGATATATACCCAAAACATAAGCTTTGCAATCATACACTCCACATTACAGAATATAGCTCTCTCATTTGAGAGGGACAGGGAAATACATAACCTCTGGGTGACCTAATTCTTGTTCACTTACTGAATATCAATTTCAGCAAACATCTGAAAATTCAAAAATAAAAAATATCCTCAGTCTTAGCTGCAGGAGAAGGAGAAAAGCAGATTTAAGATCTAAACCAGTGCAGTTTTAGCTGCACACCTTTGAGTTGGTTTTAGCAGCTGAAGAGCTTGCAAGCACTCCAAATGTATTCAGAATTAGGTGCATTAAATAATTAGAGTTACCAGCTGGAGCACTTTGCCAGGGCTGAGAGCATGCTTGTAACAGACATGGAGTACCTTATCCAGCAATCTGTCTCACTACCTTTCCTTGGTGATGGTGTTGAAGGAAAAATGTAAACATCTTCTTAGTGAGGCCTAGAAAGTATCAATCAGCATTTAGTGCTGAAGGCTGTGGAAGAGAAATGTAAGGAATTTACTTGCTGTTGAATTGTTGAGCCATGACATAGGATATGAAAGGAGTCACCACAATGCTAGATAAAGTGTAAGGATAAAGAGATAAAGTGAAGTTCTGAATTAAATAGGGTTGCTGAAACAGAGCCATTTGAATGAAGGTCAGATATTAGCAGTTTCTGGTTACTGTGGGTAAGGTCTTACCATGTAAGGTCTCAGCAGGCAATTCAGCGAGTTTTAGTGTATAGTTCCCTTTTTCTTTTTTCTTTGAGAATATGCACTACCTGTAAAGGTGATCGTAAGTACTTTTGCAGAGACATAATTAATATTACAGTAAAAAAACCAGTGGTATTTTTAGTATCCATGTTTACAGCCTTGCTGAATGTGGTGCTGGATGATTCTCCCCATGATCATTCATACTCTGTTCAGAAGGAACAGAGTAACTGTCATCACAAACATACAAGACAAACAATGTCATTGTCTTATTTCAGTAGTGGTTATTAAAAAAAAAAATAATAAAAAAGAAAGAAGTAGGTCTACTATATACCAAATCTGTAGTACTTAACACTGCCATGTCATCTAGTGTTCTAAAGGCAGTGATAAAAGGCATCCCTTTTTCCCTGTGCCCTGCCTCCCCACTCCAGTTCCCTGTGCTGCTGCCTGTGCCCAAAGCTGAGAAGGAGTAAAGATCCAAACAACACTGGCAGAACACATGCACTCATAGACCTCCTGTGCCCTTGAAAAGAGTAAATTCTTTGCAAACCGTGGGCAGCGAGCACATCTGCTGATGAGCAGATTGCCAGCTAGACTATGCATAGGAGTATGCATACTCCTACATGTCTGGCTGACCAGATAGAGCATAGACACATTCTTGATGGGTAATCTGGTGGCAGCACATTTGCTTGCAATAGTCTGCTCCCTCTTCCAGGAGACAGGGGCTGTTTCCCAGACATTTAGAAGACCAAATGGCACGTATGGCTTGTCAGCCAGTAGGTGATCAGCAACTTACCAGGGCACATCTGGGGCTGCAGGCTGTCAGATGCTCTCAAGAACATTGAAACCCAGACTGTCTGAAACTTTCTACATAAAATACATGAATATTTAGAATGCTTTAGGTTGGAAGTCCAACTTGAGTCCAACCGTAAGTCAGTAACATCTTAAACAGAATGCAGAATGAGGGGGGACTATGTAGTGATTATAGTGTGAGTTGCAACTTGTAACTGGGTCCATCAAACTGTGTCAGGAATGAAATACTATTTTAGGATGGTAAACAAAAAGCAAACACAGATCTTTGCCTATTTATTTTTCAGGTGTTACATGTTCACTCTAATAGTTACTAGATAAATGAAACATTCGGTATGCAGTATTTATTTGTTTCCTATTCGTAGATCTTTGTTATCAGTACTTTTAGAGTACTGTTGAGATAAAATCTCAACCATTGCACATTTTTCATTGTGTAACTGACAAAATTACAAATATCACTTTAATAACACAAATATTAATCTTATTAGCAAACTGTTAAAGAAATAATACTGTGTTTTTAGGTTTTTAAAATACATAACTGCATGGGAGTTTGAAAAAGTTTGAGGTTAAATTTGAGGTTAATTTGAGGTTAAAGACTGCTGCTTGAATAGGAATATATAAATAAATTCTGTAATTTCAGTATAATTCTGTTGAAGTCAGTTCCAATAATCTAATTTACTGCAATGATATAAACACTCTTTCAATATTTGTCTTCCTGTATCCGGTCACACATTGTGTAGACACACCCCTCTCTCTGAAAAGCTGAAAGCAGCTGCTTTAAAAAGTCTGAGGTGAAAAGAGTCACTGTGCCCTCATCTAGCAAGATGAGCTACTACATTTTGGAGGACAGCACTGCAACCACTGATTCCTTAGTAGCAGCCATACCTCCTCAAACTCACTTCCAGCACCTTGGGATGTATCCCATCCAGTTGCAAAGACTTGGATTTGTCAGATTTACCTTAGTGGTTCCTAAATTGGTCATCATCTACTGTTGGTAGAATTTCTCCCCATCAAAAACTGTTCCTAGGTCCTCCGAGATGTGAGACCAGGCCTCACCAGTAAAGATTTCAATACTTTTAGGGTTTCCACACTACTGTTGGTGTGTTAGAAGTACCAAAAGGAAAAAAAAAATTTAGACATCACTGGCCAAATACCTCCCCTTGGTAATGCTCTTACCATAGTCAGACTACATGTAAACACAGTGTTTGAGTTATGGATCTAAGTTAAAATATGAACTTTCAATCCATAGCAAATGAAAGAATCCTATTTTCTCTTAAATATCACTTTATAACCACTGCAAGGTGTAAGTTTGTTTAATGCTGTATTATTTCTTTATATATACAGGTATAAAACAGTACACAGCACTGCCTGTGATGCAGCTTTAAAAGCCATACAGTTGAAAAGTTCTGAGATAGTCAGAAAGCTATCAGTTTTCAAGATGTGCCCATTGATTTTTCAGGATCAGGATTCAGACATGATCTGTTTATATGGGATAGTATGTGATTGTATTCAGAGTGTAACTGGTAAAAATAAGTGCAACTGAAAGGCTCTCTCCCCTGTTTTATCTGTGATTTTTCATCTCAGTTTGTGCAAAGTAGCTATCCTAACAGAGCTCTGAGGCAAAATAATTAATTATGTGAACCTGATTATTTACAGTCACAAAATTATAAGTGCTACCTATTGTAACTGGAAACAATACTTTTTACTTTGCTAGGGAAAAAAAAAAACCCAAACAGTGAAAATTTAAGTCATTTGGCCTTGAAGAAGTCTAGGAATTCACTGTTAGGAAAGTTGTATTTGAATCTTACCTCTTCAAGCAAACAATACTGTAACCAGAGACTAGAGAAATGACTGACTACATCTTTCTGTTCTCTTAATTCTGAGCAGAATTAATTGCTGCATCAAAACCAAGATAAATCCAAGCCAACTGCAAACTGATCCATGTGACAGACTAAGACTTCAAATCAAAAAGATTTTTGAATCAATAAGCTCTTCCTATTTTGGAGAGTTAATATGTTAGACTGCCATAGTAACCAGTGATTACATGTCCAGTAAAGTTGGGTATAATCAGTTACACATAGTTTGTTGGAAAATGTTTTGGAATAAAAAACTGAATCTTATCTGATTTCATTTCTATGAGAAATTGCTTTGATTAATAATAAGATTTTTTTTCCTTATGGGACTTCAAAAGTATTTGATACACATTTATGTGGGAAAAAAATGTTAATACCATTTTTGTCCATGGAAAAGTAATTTTTGTAATGAAGGGATGTTCACTACCCCAAATAGACAGATTCTGTCAATTCAGAATATTCTGGTTCCAGGTTTGGCACTGAAGAAAAACAAAAGGGCTTTCACTGCAACAGCCAATAACCTTACAATAGTTAAAGATTTTTTTTTCTCATCAGCAGCATTTGATAACACTGCTTATAATTTTTGTAGAAATGTTGAGTGCTCCTGGGAAGTGTTAATGACCATGGGAGCAATAAGTGCTTTGGTGTGGTTGTGACATCAAGATCTCACCTGTCTCCTCTGATGTCTCTCATATAGGTCGAGGAGGAATCTGAAGTAATGCAGAAGTAGTTTGAATTCTAAAGGCCAGAAGTTACAGGATGTGAAGATTTGGCCATTATTGATTTTTTTTTTCCTCCCTCAAGTCTTACAAAGATACTGGTGTTTGGATATGTTATCTGTGTCTTTTTAATCTTGAAACCAGACAAAATTAAGTATGTTGAACTTAATGCTATTATGAACATTCAGAAAAGTAAGGGAACTGCCTGTTTATTTACAAGCAATGCTTTGTCTCAAAAGCATGTAAAAACATTGGCACATGCTAACTAAACTGCCTAATTCTTAAACTTCCCCAAGAAATGAACTGGTTTCAGCCAGTACCTTACCTAGCAGTTGCTTCTTTCCCTATGTGATACTCAGTAATTGTGCAGAGGTGTGTTCACAGTAGGGTCCTGGAGTCATTAGGGTTGAAAAAGACCTCTAAGATCATGCAGTCCAACTGTAAACCTAGCACTCCCATATTCACCACTAAACCATGTCCTCAAACACTACATCTACACATTTTTTTTAACACTTCCAGGGATGGTGATTCCACCATTTCCCTGTGCAGCCTATTCCTGTGTTTGACCACCCTTCCAGCAAAGAATTTTTTCTCAACACGCAATCCAGACCTCCCCTGGTGCAACTTCAGGCTGTTTCCTCTTGCCCTTCACTTGTTGCTTCAGAGAAAAAACCAGCCCCCACCTGTTTACAACCTCCTTTCAAGCAGAAAGAAGCTATTAGCACATGATTTTTTAAAAGATCTGTAGTCCTAAAAATAATTTCCATCATTTGGATTTCTCCACCTTCTGGTGAATTATGTGGAACAGTTAGCAGAGGAGGCACGAGAAGATTAATGATGACTGTGCTGATTAATTTTTTGATTGGGAGTGTCATTCATTAATTTAACTTCAAATTCTATTTGTTTGGCTGCTTTGCACTAGTTTGAGTAATTAAATAAATGCTCAAGAATTCTAATATAGGAAAATTCCATTCCTACAAATAAGGAAAGGAAAGCCCAGATTACAAATTGCCCCTGGAAAAAACCTTTCCTAATGCAGTTTCTCTGTGTGAATGGCAGCTCAGCATCTTGTGCTTGCAGCTCTCTCTGAAATAAGGAAGGAATTTTTCCTGAATAAGGAAATATCTTTTTGCATGGAATGTTTTGTATATTTTGTTATTATTTATAAAGATAATTTGGTACACATTATTAAAATACATTTAACTCCTGCATGCATTCTCCCCTTGAATAATAAGATCTTCATCATAAAGAACAAGATTTCCAAAGCTAAGGTAGTAAATGAGTGGTACTGTAATGCTCAGGTGCCATTGCTTCTGGTAAACTGTTGTGGTTAACCAAGCTGCCAAGCCCCATGCAGCTGCTTGCTTACTCCCCAAATTGGGATTGGGAAAAGAATTGGAAGGGTACAAGCTGGAAAACTCATGGGTTGATACAAGGATGGTTTAATAGGGAAAGCAAAAGCCACACATGCAAGCAGAGCAAATCAAGGAATTTAGTCACCACTTCCTGTGGGCAGGCAGGTGTTCAGCCATTGCCAGGAAACCAGGGACTCATTACATGCTATGGCTACTTAGGAAGGCAAATGCCAAACATCCAAACATCCCCCTGCTTCCTCCTTCTTCCCCTACTTCAGATACTGAGCATGATGTCATATGGTATAGAATATTCCTTTGGTCAGTTGGGGTTGCCTGTCCCAACTTCCCACATTGTGAGTTCCCATGTCCCCAGTCTCCTTGCCAGCATGGCAGTATGAGAAGCAGAAAAGGTCTCATCTCTGTGTTATTGCTCAGCAATAACAAAAACATCTCAATATTATCAACCTTGTGTTCAGTACTAATCCTAAATACAGCCCCATACCAGCCACTGTGAAGAAAATTAACTCTTAGCCCAGCCCAAAGCAGCATATAAGGCTGGTGAGTTATTTGCTTTGAAAATCAGAACATTCCAAACACAAAATAAAGCTCAGATGTGTAGCTGTTAGTCCCTTACTGACATCAGTACTAACCGAGCACGATACTTCTTGTTCTAGCTGCAGTCATCGATGATGTTCAGGTCACAAAAGCCAGAAAAGCATAAATAATAATAATAATAAAAAAGTTCATTCTTTAGGTAATTTCCAAAGAAGAATGTCAATAGTCTTGGTGAGCATGTTCACAGTGTCAGCTGCTGATTGCTGACTCAATGCAGCACGTTAGGGAGTCACCTCCTAATCTCTATGTCATGCTGTTATCTTTGCATCTTACACTTCCCTCTGCCTTACACACACCTATTTAAAACTATTTAATGGGCTTTTTTTTAAAATATTTTTTTAATATTGTTAGTACTTCTCAATGTGGGTTATTGCATAAACCACCTAGTGCTTGGTTTCTTTTTCATAGGTTCTGAGTATTTCTGGATTAAAGATTTTAATTTCTTGTACGATAAATAAAACATTGAAGATCTGAATTAATTATTCCCAATGCAACATGTGCCATGGGGTTTCACACAGAATCCCACAGCCAAGCAACTCATGTCTAGCTAAAGCAAACCCTAACAAAGTCTTGATACCCTGCTCTAACACTTACATACACACACACACACACCCAGAATGGAGCCCTTATGATACATATTTTAAATATATTTTTTTAAGTAATTACTACTGAGAAAATGCTATAAAAAGTGCATTGATACACTGTAATTTGGCATATTTAACGTAACTGTGGAATGTGCTATGGTTCTACAGTACATTATCAATGTGGCATTTGAAACAAGGGGGGAGTATTGTTTGGATTTGGAATCCATTATGCTGAGTTTTCCCCAAGAAGCAAAAGTTGTGAAATGCAACTTATTTTTATTCTCCTGTGGCTGTGTCCTGCCTTTCATTTGATCCCAGGCTACAGCTGGAATCTGTGGGACCTACCCAGATACAATCTGTGTGTGGCTTCCTGCCGGAGCTGTTTTACTCAGACAAGCAATGCTTCTGCTAGTTTCTGTCAGAAACACCAATAACTGCTGCACCATACCAGCAGGCAAGCACACTTGAGAAATCCTTATACAGAAATGGCAATGGGAGAAAATTAACAAATTGGAAAGAGGTACCCTGAATGTTTGTGCTGAATTGTAGCCATAAAACCAGAAACTAATTTGACGTAAAGGGAGCAGAGTGTACCTGGAAAAACATCATTCTGTCTCTGGTAGAACTTCTTACCTAAATCACACTGGAAATCTGGCTCTTCTGTGACTCTGGCATTTCTCAGATTTGAGATATACTGTGGAAGGTAAGTCAGGAAAAGTAATTCTCAGTCATTTATCTGGGAAAGAAGAAAAAGAAGAAACAGCTGCAGCCATTTGTTACCACTTTAGATTTAAATAGTGGGTTGATACAAGAAAATAATCACTGGATGTCTTTGTGTTTATAATTGAGGAGGTGTCATCTGGTGGGAGAAAGTCTTGATGATGCAAAGAACAACTATTTCTACTTTTCTATCTCTTTGGGCTTTTAAAATATGTTTAAAGCACCCCTTTTTTGGTAACAAGGCTAGCAGCCAGAGCAGTGTCTCCAAATACTGCTCAATTTCTTACCATGCAAGCCACCAAAATAAGGTGGATGTGGCATTGTCTAAAGATGGTAATGGGAGTTCCACTACCACTTCTCTTCCAATTCCTTCCATTGGATTTCCTGCACTGAGGCAGAACTCTGTGTACTTTGGGAAACTCAAAACAAATACTGTGTCATTAATCTAGTCAGAGCAGAAAAGAGCACAGCACTCACAATCTCCTAGTTTAGGGTGCCTGGGAAGTCTCAGGGTGTTGGGACACCTGCTGTTAAGTTCTCTGTCAGTGACATAGTTGAGTGTCCCATGGCTTAGTGAGAAGTCCTCCCTGAGTATGCATTTTTGAGGTGGGCAGCAGACCTAGAAACTTCCTGGGGTGTGGGAGAGCTGAACCCCAGATTTGTGTGCTGGTCTCAGTCAGTGTGTGTTTGGCACTTACAAGATGACAGAGAAGCCCCAGTGGAACTGAGGCTGGAAGGCAAGTATCCCTACTCCCCAGGGAGTCTGGGATCAGTTCTTCCACATCGTACCACAGAGTGTTTTCAGTACAAGCTAAAGAATATGTTCAACAACTGCTTGTTTGAGCCCCAGAAGCTGACTGATCGGAGTGATGTCTGTCGAGTGCATTTTCAAAGAGGTTTTGACTGCAGAAAGGATTCAGCAATATTCACTTGGGCTGGAGGCAGCCCTGGAAACCTTGGGGCAAACATGGCTTAACAGGGCTGCTTGGAGGCTCCTCCACCGTCCTCCAGAGAAGCAGTGTCTTCATTCTTTTGCGTCCTGGAGGCCAAAGGATGATTTGTGGTGCTGGTGAAGTCCATCATTGCAGCCATGTACATACTGAAAAGAGTAGCTTTTGTCAGAGTAGCTTCTGATGGCTGAAGGGAAACCCCCACCGAGGCTGCCAGCACCAGGCAAAGGTAAACGTTGAGGCACAGTTTCAGTACTTAAATTTACAGATTAATTTAAGTACTTAACTTATAATTTAGTGCTTAAATTCAGAACCTGTAGAGCAGCCCGACAGCATTCCTTGCCATCCAGCCCTCCGGCCCGGGGGAGGCGGCTCCTCGGGGCTATGGATGCCGGCCCGAGGGCAGAAAGCGGGCAGGATCATCCCCGCCCCCCGCAGAGCGGCGCTGGTGGAATTCTCGGGCCGGAGAGTTTGGCTGGGACGCGCCGGCGGCTGCGGCGGGCGCTCTGCGGGTGCTGCCGGGCCGGGCCGGGGCTGAAGGCAGGTGTCCGGCTTCTTCTGCGCCGCTCCCGCCCCGCCGGGTCCTCACCGGGCCCTCACCGTGCTCGTCTCTTCCCGGGACTTCCAATTATCGCTAAAGTTTAAGTCCTTAATTTTCTTGGCTGCAAACCCGGTAACGAATCGCTCAGACTTTGTTTTTCCACTGCTCCCGAGGCTTGATTTATTGTGTCTCTCTTATCGCACAATCGGGCTTCGTTCAAAATGTTATTCTGGGCTAATTCCATAC